TTCATGATTTCCATCCTGTTCATCATCAAAGTTTGATTGTGTACACAGTTCAGTGTTAATATTACTCATATATTCTTGCTGATAGGGCTAGTTAGACAGGCACTGTGTGTGCACTGACCTATTTGCTCATTTTATTTATGCTTACAGCTGAATGTTCTGGAAAATCTAACAACATACTGCGGACAATGAACATGAGCATTTCCTATTGAAATCTGTTCTAAAACTTTGTAGAACACGCTCAGAGTGGGACCCTTTTTTTTTTTTTAATAACTTAGGCAAAGCCCTTTTTCACATTGTGTGTTAGGGTATATTGTCTTTTAAAACCCAAAAGCATTGATTCCCTAGATGGAAAGAACACAACTGCTTTACCATTTTTACAGTTACTGATTTAATTAGCCAACTATTGATAGTACTGGTTCTGTAGTACTGCAACAGTATGAATAATTGTACAGTATATAATTAATTACTTTATAATTAGCAATAATTTATACAGTTATTAATATTATTGGTAAACAACTTAAAAGTCAGAGTAAGATGTAAATCTGCAGAAGCATAAACAGTAAAAGCCCGAATAAGTGAAACTGAGGTTGCACAAAAAAAGTAAAGTGAAATAAAGAAAGTAGACAATATGTCAATAAGATGATAATTAAGTTTATATTGAGCAGTTAGAGTACTTTGGTTACATCACACTTGTTTTCCAAACTTAAATAGGTCAACTCTTTGAACTTTTTCTCTGCTCATTTTTCCTCAATTAAGGGCCAAATATAAGTTAGAGCACGGGGGAGAGGGGGAAAATACAGAGCCGGGTGTCCTGGGCATTGCAATGTGGGTCACGCATCAGCGGTGCAAGCCAGCAAACAATCTGAGAGGGAAATCTGAAGGCTGGTGAGTTTATGCTTGTTGTTTGATTGAATAAATTACTTCATTTTAATTACCCCTCACGAAGTGGGGCAGTAATTGAGGGGCTGCCTGCTGCAAATACAGTGGACAAGTTAGTGTAATGACGGCATATTATATATAGCCACCCATACACCCACTGACTAATGATGATGACGTGTGCAGAGACGATGTCTAATTGAGATACAATTATTTGACGTGTTCTAGTCAGAGAACAACAAACAAAATTGGCCCATTGAGTTCTATACCTGGCACACTGAGAGTAAAAGCACCCAATCTTGTTCTTGTGTTGGTTATAATAAAGGTTGCCTGTTTAATTATGACAACAAAGGTGAAGTGCATCACTCACGGTTGCTTTAAATAGATGTGTAAATGAGCCACAAACATGACGTGCACTGCTGGTTCAGGTAACAACCTCACATAGACATACAGATCAATACTGCTTCTAATAGCCTGCATAAAAATCGGGCAAAACAAATCCATTGGTTTTGTGTCCGTTGCTTCAGTGAACCCATGCGGGCTGTTGTGGGGAGCAAAATGGCTTGGTGGACTTTGTCCCGATTGGTTTTTAGATAACCATTGAAAATAAACGGGCCATGGCTGTCACTGGATTTGCAGACATTCGGATTTCTTGAAAACCAGAAATTAGATCCAGGAGAGATTCGGTGTGACTGTTGGGAATGAGATCTCCAGTGCAATATCGTCACAGTGGAGATCATTTTGTAATCCAAGACTTTCCATTTCCCACTGACCATGGAAATGAAGGTTTTTTTTCAACAAAAGTTGCAATATAAATATATGTAACCATCAGGGACATTACTTCAAAAAAACATTTTCTTCATCTCATTTTCAAAGGGTTTGCATGCCTTTCTATAGAGATAATATGACAAAACTCTGGTGAATAACCTACAAGTCACCTGAATATAGTGAATTCCGCGCTGTCCCTGTACCTCCATTATCATAACACTTAACCACAAAGCAACATTATATCTGCATTTGAATTAATTTTTGCATGAAACAAGCTTTATCTGAAAGTACTGAAGGGCTCAGTCCCAGCTTCAAGCATCTCTCATGGATGTCGCTGCTGCTCATTTGTCTCCTGCTCCAGCCATTCCCAGCTGCAGGACTTAATTCAGCATAATATTCATAACCACCACTCTCATCTTGCTATGATTGGTTTGCTTATGCATATGCAAAAGGTTGAGTGCAAAAAAACAAAGTTATAGCCTAAATTGACGTGTATGCAGTGAAGCCTACCTTGATGTACGAGGTTTGATTGAGAGTGCAGGCCTGCAGCTGATGCACTGTACATGTCGTCCTTTGTTCTGTATGTGTGTCCCATGATTAAAAAGATGTTTGCCTTGAGACATTCATGTTACAAATTAGTTCCTGTCTGCTGCAATAACTCATTTGTCATCATAAATGCCTTTATGTCAGGTGGATTGATAGTGTTGGTAAATTGGAATAATGTTTGTTTGGGTTTTTCTATCTCTTCTCTTCCAGAATCTCGTACTGCACCGCAGATAAAACTCAGGATAAGGTCTTCGCATACGTTTCTCAGAGTCAGTTCAATGAGACGCTGGAGTGCCATGCATTTCTCTGCCAAAAGAAGAAGATTGTAAGTGTGCAATGAACTTGTTTTTGGTGTAAATACCTGTATACATCTAGCTCAATGTATGGAATACATGTTCTTGGACTTTAAATCATGTGGTCAGTTTGCTTGGGGACAGAGTACATATAATAAACTGCACTTGAGGCAGCAAGTAGCAAAAATGTAGACGGTGTGTGGCTCCATCTTGTGGCAGTTCACCTCCCAGCTCATTAGTCTGTACTGTTTTAATCCACCCCGTTTTAAGAAAATCATATGACAAAATATAAATGTAATACAAGACATTTGAACATTTATATGTCAAATTATTACAGTAGATGTGTCAATAATCAGGCTAAAGATGTTCAAGCAAAAAAAATTCTTGACTGCAATTGAATCACAACTCTTCAGTACGTTCATTTTGATTTCAGTGTTTGTTTCATTCTTGTGTTCTTTTTCTTCTCTCTCCAGGCTCAGGCTGTGACATTAACGGTAGCCCAGGCCTTTAAGGTAGCCCTCGATCTTTGGGAGATTGCTCAGGAAGGTGAGTTCACTGGACAAAAGGAAGGTGACATAGAGACAGTTCAGTGAGAGGTTCTCCTTTTGAACTATTTAGAAAAAAAATACAAGGAGGGAAAGGCTCTAATTCATCCAATCTGTCTGACTGGGAATGCTTTTGGTTTTCAAGCCAAGTTGAGAGGACAGTTAAAGAAAATGCTTCCCATGCTCATTCTGACCTTCACAATCTCCACTGGGCTGTAGGAATGACACACTGCTGTACTTCCTGCTCGTAAAAGTGTCACCAAATTAGAATTGCTAAAAACCATATGATGAAATGCCGACACTGTTCAACCTTAGACGGATCTTATAGTGTACTTATGGTTTAGTTTTAACAACTGTTCTTTTCTATCTGCAGACAAAAGCAAGAAGGCGAGGACCTGCTGTTCTTGTGCAGCAAGCAACGGTCAGACAGAGACAGCAGACACTCAGTGTGTTCCAGCAGGTATTTGATGAATTTAGTAATGATGATAATTACGAGTAAATTGGGTTAATCTTTATCTATAGCCACAAGTGGACAAGCAACAAACAACAAGTGCATTTCATTTTGGGAAATATGATTCTTTGCTTTCTTGCAGGGCTTTAGAGGACTCTCTGTGAAATATAAAGCTAGAAACAGGATGTGATAGCTTAGCTTAGCATAAAGATTGGAGATGGGGAAACAGAACAGCTACATTGACTTGTCTGAAGTAAAAAAAAAAAAAATCTATCCAACTTAACAGCACTTCCAAAGCTAACTAATTTCTTTCATTGTATCATGATCCACATTAAGTCATATTATTTCCATACAAAAACAGTGTACATTTTTTTACCAGCAGTTATGTGTCATCATTGACAGTATCTCATCTAATTCTCAGCAAGAAGGCTGATAAGCATATTTCCCAAAATGTTGCATTATTCCCTTAACCTGGATGAGTTTCCCATTTACAAACAATCAAGAGAGCAGAGGGATAGAAAACCCACTGCTACAATAGCTTTAGAGGGGGATTTGAATGTGAGCCTCATCCCCATGTATCACATTATATGTCAGCTTTACCTAGGTAACATGACACATATAATATAACCAGTGAGAAACAGCAGCAAGTAGCAGTGATAACACTTACAGACTACCTGCGTGTTTCCCAAACAGGCAGCACTCGTTAAAAGCACAAAATCAAAAAATAATGTTAACACAAAAGAGCGGCAGAAATTAAGAACACAGATGCACTCTGGTTATTCATAACATTCCTCAAAATATACCAGACACATCATATATAGTCATTTCAGAAATGACTGTGGTGTATATAGGCAAAGCATCGCTAACAAAAAACTGTGTATACAGGAATGAATCTGTATTATTTATCAGCCACACAGTTTTGTTCCCTCTATAAGTTTGTGTTGCTGTTACCGAGTCGCACACTGGAACAAATAAAAAAACGCACATCAGACTGATCATCAAAGCACTGAACATAGAGCCTGCAAACGATCACACAATTCATTTAGCAGCTACAAAGTGTGAGATTGTGTGTCTGACCTTAAAGCGAATGTTTGTTCCTTACCAGTTTCTGTGGAACTATCCACTATCTTCCAATATTCTACACCATATAAAATTCATGGCACTGACCATGACACTAGAGCTGACAGCTAATTATCCACACTGAGCTCACCAGGAGGTATGCTTCCTTTGATAAAAGACATTTTGCACACATTACTTTAGTGATTCAGTCAGTTTAAAGCACAAAAACAACTTCACATGTTCATCTCTTCGTAAGCTGTCAGTCATTCAGCTTTGCTTCTGGTCTGGTCACCCCCCCCCCTGTTGCTCGGAAACCGGTCTATAAATAAGAAGGTTTTAAATGAACTTGAGCTTTGATTATTGCTCATTTAGTTATGAATATTTAATGTGAGGAATTCCTAATATTTTATTTGACACCATGTTGTCAGAGGCTGTAATATTTACAGTTATGTTATAAATGTAACTGGCCTGGAATAATTCTGAAATTGTAATTCTCGGAGGACGAGGATAAAGATTATGTAATCTCAATGTATTGTATGGGGCTGGAGAGAAAGAGACTGTCCGTCACTGACAAGATTACAATGATCTGATTAGTAATGTGAAAATGACAGCTGTAGTCACTGAAACAAGACAGTAATTAGATGCAGATTTAGACCGAGTTCCTCCCAAACCGATTCCAGTGAACACGATTAAGTAAATGTTACCATAGTCAGCTGCATAATGACTTTACAATGACCTTCTAGCGTGCACACGACAACAAGATTTGTAATTCTGTAGCGTGCCCCCTTTCACACACAAATTTAACTGGCGTCAATCACTTCTCACGTACACGGAGGACAAATCACCTAATTATACACCACTCATTAGCCGTTCAGGGGAGCAGTACATTTTAAGTACTTTCCGATGGCCGTGACATTTATAGGTCAAAATGTTTTCCACTCCTCGGGGGGGTCAGAGGGTCTGCAAAATGAGACTTAATCATCCATTCAGTTTGTTGTTAGTTAAGAGCTGGCTTTTCCAGCTTCTTTCGATTCAAATTTGCTCCGCTTCCAGCTGTAGTGGCCCGAGGACAGAGAGAAAATGTGATGTGAAAGCCTCAAGGACCTCGGGAGTAACGCGGGCACAGAGAGGCGTATGAAAGTTTTATGGAGATGATTTAAATTCTGCCTGTTGCAGAGAAAGCTGCGAGTGCCACAGGCTGGAGTTGATGTTTGTGTGCAAAGTTAAAGAGAAAAGATGACTCAATGTGCACGATCCTTTTTCCTCTTTTTGGTCTCACCTCCTGTGTCCTTCATGTTTACTTCTCTCTGCTTATTCACCTCATTTCCCTGTCATGTCTCTCAGATCCAGAGGCACACAAGCCTGTTGGGATAGAGGAGAAGCTCCGGAGGCCCTTCTTTTCTGCTTCGCTCAGCTCGCCCTCACCTCGTAGTAACCCTACTCGAAGGCGACCAATCAAACATGACTCTTGGGTAGGTCACCAAACTGCTAATTGGTCTGATTGTGCCAAAAATGATTATATCAGTTTTTTGGTTGAGTGACAGATTAGCTATGGAAACGTCCCTCCTGATATTGAATTATGAGACAGCAACTCAGGGTACTGCTAGTACTGTATTTTTCCCAAATTAAAAATCTGTACACCTCACTCATTAGTATAGTATAATGTTTATGTAAGCTAACATGAGGCCATAAACGTTTTGACATCAGCTTAATGAGACCGGTATTTATGCCAATACCAGTCTAGTCAGCTTGGAGCATCACTAATATTTTATGTTATATTGTAAATCATTGCCTTTCTCCTAGTATTAAAACCTGCATGTCTGTAATTCACATTGTTTACTATCAAGACTGGACGATCAAAAAGCATCTTAAAACTTTAGGTTTTATAGGTTTTAAATGATAGATATTTAAAATGGTCCTTGTGCTGGGTTTGTAGTATGAATACCAAAGTAGCGGGCTACCTGTGGAGAGCAGTGTGTCCATTGGCAAACAAAGTCCTGACAAACACAAGCAAATATTCAACAAAACAACTTTATTGTCACGTCAGATGACTTACACAGATAAAAGAAGCCACTGCAAAGGAAAGCAATACTACACTATACTAAACCGTAGCGTAATATTGCAACAATGTTAGTCTACTAAATTAATTTCTTAATGTTCAATGTTTCAAATTTAAAGATCAACCTGCTGTGGTGGGTGTGTGACTGTGAGCACATTTTGCCTCAGTAGTTTTCTATCATTAAAAAGGTAATTATTTTCTAAGTACACCAGTAATTACTTATTGCTGCTGTAATTTGAGCACTTACATGTAGTAATGATGTTGTAAAATGTAAAATGTCTGTATTTAAATTTAAATTTAAAACTGTAAATGTTCATGCTGCAGAGGCTCATCTGTCACCATCCTGGTGTACACTTACAAGTTCTTAACACTAGGTGACACCATATTCATTAGAATATCTTTCCTACTGACTGATCTCACATATGTGCTCATTGTTACGTATTCTCCCTAATAAGATTTATCTGTCATTGGAAGAAATTATGATTTAATAGAGTCACATTTCATTGGCTAGTTCAACTTGATCTTTTGATACACTCATAATCCTTCTTTGTTTTCTTTACATCAGGTCATATTATTTTCAGGTTATGAATCGGACAGAATGATAATTATGTTATCATAACTCTTAATATCTCTTAAACTAAAAGAGATTGAATCACTTGCTTTCCCAAAAACTAGTGCAGGGAAAGTAGAGCAAAGATCTGTGGGATTCCTTATCTATGTTTCCAGACTTGTGTAAGTCATGCAATGTTGCCATATGAATATTGATTTTATTGTCATACAGTCACAGTGAGGAGAGCAAAAATATACATTTTGCTGTGTTTGATTCTTTACCTCAGTAATTCATTTATGTGTCACTTGGATAAAATAAGTTATGACATGGCTGACTCAGTGAAGAGGCACAGGAGCTTGACAGCACAGAAGCAGCAGGATTGTGATTTGAGGTAATTTATGTGTGTATTGATTCATATTGTTTATGTCCCAACAGGACGTGGAGGATGGACTCGACGATGCGTTCTCAAGGTAACCTTTGCATATGAAGTCTGCAAGTCTGCTCAATACTTGGCATACATTCTTTAATGTATGAAAGGAGGTGGGATTGGCACAAAATACTTAATGTTACCTCCAGAAAAATAAATGTATGAAAATAAATAACTTTATGTTAAACCCAATTCCACACAAAAATAAATCTTCTTTTGAATACTGTAGAGCCATTTCAGATGATGACAGTTGCACTGAGGGTGATGGTCAGCTGTCAGTAACCTTTCAGACTCTTTTAGATTCGAAAACCTTCATTTGACACATTGACTGACACAGATTTTTATTGAAATTCACACACGGACGGACACAGAGAGGGAGATGCAATAGTCTTCTTTTCTCAAGTAACTCAATGCGAAAAGATGACACTACATTCATGCCAATGACCCAATGTAGAAAGGATGTATGATAACCGCTGTCTCAAGGTTACAGATGAGGCCCATATTGATTGTATGGCAGTCACTGACTGGTGTGGTAATTTTTAGAGATTTAGAAACCCAAGATTTATATAATTGTTCTGCTATTAGCAGTACAAAGAAAAAGTTTAAAAAAAACACCAATTCACAAAGGTCCTGATACAGTCGATTTATCAGCATACTGTCTGTAAGTTGGCCTGAAGTGCTTCTTTTAACTTAACACAACAATCAACTGTAGTTACTGTTGGTGCTGTAAACCTCTGGTGTCTTATTAAACCAGAACTGAATAAAACGAGACAGTTTTAGAGTCGAGCAGCTGTCCGCTCTAATTAAGGCAAAATAAATGGACATTTCAAGTAGTTGGCAGTGACCTGATCCACTACCTTATATAACACTACAAATATTTTGAATTATTAGAAGAAAATAGCCCAGTTTTCACTTTTAAAAGCCAAAATTGATCTGTAGTTTTTGAACCATGGGTTCCCCTAGTCAAAAAGTGATAATATTGTGAAAGGGGATTTGGCAGAAATGTCTTCATTCTGTCTGCAGTTGCAGTGAGACAGATTTTTTTGATTTTTCATTGGCAGTTATGGGATTTACAGTAAGAGAATCACAAATACTCTACACAGTAAATTTCCCAACCTTTTTTCACAGTGATACATTATATAAATATATAACTAATCTCTAACGGCAACATTTGTTCCCCACCTATTATAGTTGAAATCTCTTTTTATATTGTGATTCTAATGAATCCATTAACACAGGGGCTCAATAAATATGGCGAACAAAAGAGGAGAGAGGGCACATCCTTGTCTGCATCCCCATTGTGAAGTAAATGGAGCAGTGAGGTGCCAGTTTACTTTAACTCTGGATATCGATTTAATGTTTGAATCATTTCTATGAATGCCCCATGAAATCCATATTTGACTTAATGTAAAAATGTAAAAAAGCTTTCTGGCATCTTGGCTGATCATATTTTCTGTTGTATTATATGTAATGTTCTTCTGATGTTTTCCTTTGTCTCTACTTAATTAAACCAGTCTGGTCAAAGTGGACATCATTGAATATTTCAAGCCTATAATCTAGTATAACCTATAATTTAGTACATTTTTAGGTCTTAATTGATAACATTCTTGCATTTATTTTGCCCTCCTTCAGAGTAAGGTGTATAACTGCCTCTCTCTATGAGGAAGGCATTTCTATTTTATTTTTTTTACCACCGAATATTAATATTTGTGCTAATTTATCCTTCAGTCACCTTGTACCAATTTGTAGGTGAGGCTGTCCACGTCAGGGGAGCAACCTCTGTTCATTTTTGTAATAACCACATTTCTTCAAGAGTCCCCTCAGTTCTAAGAGTATTAGTTTGAGTTGGTAGGTTTATGCAATTTCCTTTAGTCTTAATGTTTTTTTTATTTTGTAGAGAGAGTTGTCTGCCTGTCGTTTCTTTAATCTATATGTTAATAATTAGTACTCTCTTGAAGTAAAAAATATTAAATTCCTCATTTTGTCAGATTAGACAAAATAATTTAGCAGTAGGCCGTTAACTTTTTACTGATAATCTTTACAAGCATTCATTAACATTTATGAATAATTATATATCAACAATGCATGTGAACACTAAGCTGATTAACTGTAGCAATCATGTGTAACTAGTGAGCAGTCTTGTGCCACTCTTGAACCATTGCATACAACAGAAATGACATTTGCTTCCTTTACTGCCAACATGATCACCACCTTTCCTGACATAGCTGTCAGGAGCACAGAAAGTGAAGCCAGGAAGTGAACTCTACAGTTCATCAGCACTTTATCACTGAACTAAGATTACAATGCAACACCTTTTTTATTTTCTTTGAAAGTGTGACAGTCTGTGAAATTGTCATTTTATGGCTGTGAGATGCCTGCAGAGAGAGTAAAATGTATCTCACAAGTAAAGTGTGAGACTTGACAGGTATGAAATACTTACTCGCTTGCTCTCCGGCTCATAAAGATGTGATGGAAGTAGTCCTTATATTATATATATATACGCACTTGGTCCATCTCTTAGCACACTCAAACTCAAAACCCATCAGAACTCTTTGACAGTTCCCCTCCATGCACAACAGATTGTTGGGAATGTAGGCCAAACAGTCCAGTGAGTGTCTGAGCACTCAGCATGGCTTTTCATTTCCTCATACAACCCCCGGATATGTGTATACGTGTCCTGCAGTGCTGTATTATGCCTCCATAAAGAGAGAAGAGCAGCTCATTAAGTTGTGTTGCCTGCAGCTAATAGATGCGTTTGTTGTGTTGTAGCATGAAACGCTGTGATTAAAGCAAATGGGTAAATGAGAGGCAGAGATTCCATACAGAAGTGTCTGTGTGGAGGCTGGCTGTGCGAGGAGGGAGATCAGAAGAGGGAGGCAGGTCATTGCTTAGGCTGTTCTCAGCAGGGATGAGGAAATACTGACCTCAAGTTGTCCAGTGAAGGAAGGTGGAACACTTGGAGAAGCATCTAAATCTGATGCCCTAGAGGAAATGCTGAAGGATTTTGGAGTGTTAGAGCAGACCTCCTCCTCAGAGGTCAGCAAGGATGTCAAGCTCACGGTGGATGAAATCTGTCCTGAAACACTGAAGACTCTGGATCACATTGAGCTGTCATGGCTGTTGCACCTCTTCAGTGTTACATGTCACTTTGGGAGTGCTTTTAGACCAGCAGAGCAGGGTCGTGGTCTATGTCTTTGGGCACCTTTCTGAATGTTCAGGGATCACACCTTTGACTACGATGCCCCCCGAAAAGATCAACAAAATAGACAAAACACAAGCAAATTATGATTTGGGACTCGTCTCAACTCGTTTAGCCACTGGTCAAGCATTAGATTTTGCTCAAATCGCAAAGCAGTGTGTCATTCATTTAGATTCTGTACATATCACGAAGATAAATGTTTGGTCCTCAACCACTGAGTCCTCTTTTAGCTTTGTGTGGCTTATAATTAAAAAAAAAAAGAGCGTGTGAATTTAAAGCTGACATCAAGGGTCAGTTTGTCTGTCTGTAGGTTGGTAGTTCACTTTATCCTACTTGAAAAGTAGCAGCACAGCCTCTAGGGGTCGCTAGCTATGCTTTATATTCCTCTTACTTTAGCTACAGCTGGGGCAGCCAAACCAACTTCAGTAGAACCATTTTTAATTAACTGTATAAGCACAGGTCAGGGTTTAGGCCTTTATAAAAAAAAAAACTGAATTGTTGGGTAGTAGATGGTTATTCAAGTGGAGGCTCTGTGCTTACAACCAGGGCACTTGGTGCCGACAACTGCTGACATCAACTTCAGTTCAAATGGGTTTAATTAAATGGTTTGATTTGTATTTAAGATTTCTTAAATGAATGGTGACCTTGGAGTTAAAATGACTGTTATGTAACTGTATGTGTGTAATTATGTATGCCTTCTCTGTACTGAAGTATTTAAATAATTTAACCATCTAAATGTGACATGTTCTTTTTTGAGTGTTTCTTCACTTTATGCATGGTGGAGAAGGGACAGCATACACCTGTTAGAGTCTTAGTGAAGTTCTGTGAACAGTCTCTACGTGGAAGTTATCTTGTGCCAAAGCTTTATTATTGAATCACAAAGTCATGATTTCCTGTGTCTTCTACCTGGCATGCAGCAACATGGAAGTAGAGGAGATGGACACCGGTAAGTGATGCGACAGGCAGAATACCACCCTTCCATTTTCACACCAAACCAGACTGTCCACAAATATGCACATCATCTAAATCAGTGGTTCACATGCTTAGGTCATTTTGGATGAGTGGACATGCCCCCTTCATGAGGGGAACTACCAGAATCTGCTCATTAGTGACTCCACCTGTACAAGAAAAGTGCACGTACTAAGCCACGTTCCTGCAAACTTTTGCAGGGCTATTTTTAAGGATGTGAGTTAGGAGGTGTTCGATTAGGACTGAATTTTTAAAATGTCTCATCATTCACAAATGATGGCTAAATTAAATAAGATTTATAATTTATAATGTCCTTGTTTTTTTTGAGGAAGTGATTTAAATCCTTACAGTAGTTCACAGTTAAAAGAAACCCCATTTAAATAGATAAATATTAAATAATATAAATAGTAAATTTCATACATATGATAGTCTTTCCCTTATTTTTTTTCATTAGAAATAGAAAAATGAATCAACAGTCCACATAACACTCTACCTCTGCTCTCCCATTCATTCAGTCATTCCAACATCCTCTGCATGCCCTTGATACATGTTATCTCTTCTTCTTCTGTCACTTTTAAACCATTGCATATCCTGTCAACCATTGTGACGAATAAATATTTACTGCCTCTGACCTCTGTAGCAATATACTTTTCTCTCTTCCTGTCTTTCTGTCTCTGTCAGACTGGCCGAGTCCCGCTCCGAACCCGTCTCTGACGATGCAGCTCTGAGTCCTCTGGAGGTCTTCCAGGAAAATCTGTTCTATTTGCAACAATGAGTTTAAATATTAAACACCGGCAATAGCTGCCCAACTTACACAACCACAGAAATTCAACAGAAATCATACCACAGGCCCCAAGACCAACAAAAATCACAGCACCGCATTTATCACTTGAACAGAGAGCAAAACATATCACACTTCCCGGTGCACAACCTGAATCAGAGAGGGTCTGTTTGATATTCTGTGGCTGCTGCAGATATTATAAACTTCTATTTCTCTGTATGCCTGCCTGTCGACACACTCCACTCAGTGTAAACAACCATCTCCAGCCACCTCCTGCCATATTCAAATTCCCACAAACTGCCAGATGAAAGACGGCGCACACAGTGTCCAACGCAGCGCTGCGAGACGAGCAAGAATTACATATTTCTACTCAAAGATGAATACCGTCTTGAAGAAATACTTTCAAATGTGGATTCTAGTTATACATTCTGATGAAGATTTCCTCTGCATCAAGAAGTTTGTGTATATAAGGTTGTCATCTCAATGTAAAAGCTCTCTAATCTTGTCACCTGCCACTGGAGGAAGACCAGTGTTTGAAGTCATCAGTAAAAATGGGACAAATCTTCAGTCATGATATTAGATGAATTATACGTTCATTCATTCATATCATTCGTTTTGTTTGTGCTGATTAAACGAATGAAATGGCATGTGATATAGTGATTATACATACAGACATACTACCCATTAATTTGATGGTAAGACTTTTATACTTTTACTGAAGTAATATTTTCAATGCAGGACTTTTACTTGTAACAGAGTATTTCTACATTGTGGTATTGCTACTTTTAGTTAAAGTCCGCCTCCACCCAAAAATGTTTTTCTTCTTATTCTTACAGTTGGATGTTTGAGCTTCACTGTGCAGATGTTTTCACTTCATACTGCTGAAGAGTGGAAGCTTTCTTCTGTGCTCATGGAAAATCTGATTTTAAGGGGTGGGGCTTACAAGCCTGATTGGATGAAATCACAAAAGTTTGGAACGTACAGACTGCGGTCCAGAAGTGTTATCGTACGAAACTTGAAGCCACCAGTGCAACATAACACTGACAATGACTTGAAGTGAAAGTACGGAGACATCTTGTGTCCAACAGGAAAAACTTTGGTATTCATAGATTCTGGAATTTCTTAATGACGGTAGAAGAGTAGAATGCTTTTTTAAGTGTTTTAATGTGGAAAAAAACCCTTCTTTTTTTCTTTTGCAGAAAAAACATGCCATATATTGTTCCAAGCAGAATATTTTGTATGTCTTTAATATATGTTTGGAGGGATCTTTAAGTAACGATCTGTTTGGAGGGGATCTTTAAGTAAAAAGATCTGAGAAAACCCAACAGCAAACTCTTCTCTTGCAGAAACAGGCTGATGTTCCTGTAACAATCAATTTCAGTGCTGTCTTACTTGAACATGGCTTATGTAACCAAAATGTACTGACTATTTTACATTCTGTTGTGTCCTCATCCAGTCAGCTGTACATAAAGATGAAGTTACTGTCAAAGAATACCGATGATGTAAGGTCATGAGGACAAGTGTATGGCAAGGCTAAACAATTAGAGTAAAGAAGACTATTTCCATATGCTGTATTTTTTCATTGTCAAAGCTGCGTAATTTATGTATGCATATTGTACCATTATAAATAACGTAGGATGAATAGAATCAGGGCTTCACACAGATGTTTTTTTTAAATGATTATCACTCTTGTTGAGATGTGAATGCGTAGATGCTTGTATGTTTTGCATTAGGTTAGACGATTTGTAATCGTATGTGGTTTTTATTACTGAAGGAATTCTTTCTTTTTTTTTACAAAATTGCCATTAGTAACCCACGTGCAGTATATAATTATAAACTCCCCTATTCTCAAGTCAGTAATCACCTGTTACATTCATCGATACAGTCTACAGTTTCCTCTTTTAACAACAATCTGTGCCACAAAACATTCCTTCGCCCCAAATCTTATTTGGATGAATTGGCTCGCTCTGCTCAGACCTCTGCAAATTTATTTTTATCCACCCACTCCAGATGAGTTCACTGTCAAGAGGAATCATTGTGCCCCAGACTGGCTGGAAGTGGTCCTTCTCTCTGTATTCTGGCATCATGAATGAGAATCATTGTGACGGCGGGAGGTGTTGGGGGTGGGGAGGCTATGCGTTGTTGTCATGACACCCGCTGCCGAATAATTGGATGGCTTATCAGGTTACGCCATGAAGCTTAATTGCATTGTTTCGTTCCTGACCGGCTCAAATACCAGCTCCATTGCATATTTGAAAGAAAGCTCTGTGCTGTTTGGATATCATAAATAGCCTTCAGCAATTTCTGTGGATGATCTATCGAGCCATGTTTGCATTTTTAATATTGACTGTGAAGTTCAAGGTCAGCAGAGTGTTGTCATTTTGCCTTGCCTTTCTCTCACACGTCTCTCCCCATGAATAGAAATGATTTTTACAACATGTTCTCACCCTTTCTGCTCCGTCATTGACTGCCCGATTGATTCATGTGTGGATGCTTCCATATCCTCTGATTCAGTGTTATTGAGTGATATTTGGAGATGGGCTGTTGTTCAGGAGCTGTCAGACTCAGAATTGGTTTTCAATAATGACAACCAACAAAATAAGAGTTTTGAAGCACATTTTCTCATAAGGATAAATGCAGTAGTTGTTCCTGCACAGTAGATATTACACTAGGATAAAGTTTTCACCCAGTCTTTGCCATTTTTAAATGATTTTCAATTTAAAAAAAGCTGTGTGATATCATTTGATTTTGCAGCCAAACTCCTCTGGCTGCTTATTTAGATTTGATCAACTCCTGTATAAATTATACAAAGCCACAAATAGATCTGCTGAACGGAAGAGTTTTGTTTCATGTAGCCAGTATACTGTATGGAGCAGCACACTGATGTGGCCAGATTCGCAGCTTGAATTGATGCAGTTCTTTGGCGCAGCCGAGAATTTTCCAAGCGAGAAGGAGGGAGGGAGGACAGACGCACTTGGAGGTATAACATACCAATTTGAGTCTGGAGTGCATTGAATACAAATCAGCCTGTGAAGTGTTTGGGGCCAGAGATATTTGGTGACTTGTAAAAAATTAGGAACATCTCCACATCGTCAGATAAGCTATTATTACCCAAATGATCCACTGACGTTTACAGTTATCGGTTTACTTTTCAAAGAAGGTGCTTATTTTCTATCTATGCAATTAGTGGGTTTCCAACAGTGTTGTGATATTATGATAATAGCAATTTGTGTGTGAACCACAAGCAGATGTCCTGAACTGTGTAAAAAAAATGTACAGAGTTTGGAAACCGTTATGGTTTGTTACATATTTATGCATAATAAAAGACTTTGTACAAAATGTTCATTCAACTGTAATTTTTGTTATAGAATATCGACGGCCACTTGCAGAAGCCTGTGTTTTGTTAAACACTTAAACTTCTGCTTTCATACAGAATTTAATTATGAAGATAGTTTGGCCTTTAGCAGTGCCAGACAATATCAGTACAATGTGTCTCTTTGTTGCAAATCAATTTGACTCCAGAATTGCTCTACAATTTGATCAATAATGTGTTTCAGCAAATCATCTTCTAAAAGAAGAAGAATTAAACAGCTACAGCTGACTGTGCAGACAAGCAGATAGACAGGGAAGAGGGCAGAGAGAGAGGGCTGACACCACAGCAAGGGCCAGCAGGTCGGACTCTAACCCCGCATGGCTGGCTGCATTGTACATGGGGCATGAGCTCGACCAGATGAGCCATCATGGCGCCCCATTTATGTGGTCGATCCAAAGCAAAGACGTTCTCTTGTCTGCCTGTCTGACTGACACAATCACATCGACACATTGTCTATTCATGCAGCCCACTGTTCATTTGATTGAAAAAAAAGAATGGCGAAAATGCACACCAGGTGCAGGAAACAAGTCAAGACAAGAACAAGAAATCAGTATGCTATCATTTGCACCTTGAGAGCAGCCTGTGGGTTGAGTCACGCTCCCTAACCAAAGAAGATCAACTTAATGTTTTTATAGCTGCACCTGTCACTTGTTAGAAAGACTGATCACACTGTCAAACCTAAAATTAAGAGTGATCACATTTATGAAAAATTGCTTTAAAGATTTTATATTTATGTTGCACCATGGAACACTTCAATCAGATGTGTGTGTGTGTTTCTGTGAGGTGGCAATGCTATCTGTGAGTGTTTGTTTAGTCTGATGACTGTTTATAGAGGTAGACAAATATTTTAATTGCTAAAGATGTGGATGCTGCATCCTGGCAGGGGGCCTCTGATCTGGTTATCAGACTGTGCAGCACTAACGGGGATTTAAAAATGAGGACTTTTATAAGTTGTTGTAAGATCACTCGAGGTTTCACTTTCAGGCTTGAGACGTCAGTGATTCAAGGATACAGAGGCTTTAGTCCGCAAGACCTTCCTTGGATTTGGCGTAACTACCACAATAATAATCAAATATACTATTCATATAGTATGTTTAAGGAATACTTATTATTTCCATTTCTATCATGCCATCACGTTTATAGGCCTGGGAGGGGGCGGGGGAGGGGGTCCCGAGTTTGGAGCCCGCTCAAAAGCAAGCACTCTGCCCTTAAAAGTTCGGTTTCTAATCCTGCAGGACTCGACTTTTCAGAAAACTCAATGTGACCAACCTGTCTTGAACCAAAGACTCAGTGGAATAGCTGGACTGTCTTCAGGAAGGAGATCTGTCTGCAGTGAGCACCGAGGAAAGCTGTAGACAAACTGCACTTTGATATTTTTTTAAGGGAACTCACTGGAGACTAAGGAGCTCGAAACTTTGTGTTATATCATGTCCTGCCTTGACAGCCACAGCATTGTTGCTGCTTGTATTTTGATTCTGTGTGCTGTGGTCACCACAATTCACAGTTTTGGGTTTTAAAATGTTTTTTTCTTTTTCTTTTTTTTTTTAATTGGCTTGGTTCTGATCAGTATACTTGACTGACTGGAGATGCTGAGGCGATGACAGCAGGCTGTCTGCTTCCCTCCACTTCCGCGGCTTTCTGCTCTCCCTGCTGATCTTTGGCAGATCTGAGCTCACTGCAAACAGACTACTTGCATCATGTCGGCAGAGTCTACAGCAGCCAGTCAGATCCTGTTTTCATATGTTGTGAGGTGCTGTGATGATGAAATAATATAAATAAGAATAATAGATTTGATGCCTACACAGTTTTTGTCTTGCCACACTGCAGTTAAAAATGGCACTGTCACTGTGTGGCATCCTTAGTAGGAAAACACTTCTGGCTCCAGACATTACATTTAAGTTAGATAAAATGGAAAAAAATCAATTAAGAAAGAAAAAAAGATAATTCTCCTAGCATATTCCCAACTACTCTCACAAATACCTTTTATATTATGAGGTTTATAATTCACTAGATCCTAATTCAAGAATCCTAGTTTAACTTTAGGGTAATATGTTCATTACTGATGTCTAATGTGTCCATAGTGTCCTGGGATCTGCGGATGAGAAGCTCTTTTAGTATTCATAACTCTGTAATTAATTGCTAATTGGCTATTTAACGCAGTTTTTAAATGGCTAATTAATGGCTGATAAGGTGGTTCCACGCTGCCCTAATGGCTCAGTATTGTGTTGGTAATGGTTGTACCGTCTGATATTGAGAATTTGTTGAGATTGGCTTACGGAGGTCAGATACGCTGAGGTTTTAACTACTGCAACTCACAAAGTGGAATATGGAGGGCAATAACCTGCAAGTACTGTGAATATTTTTTAGTGGTATGACTGTGCAAGTCATTTAGGACACAGCCTTGAACCATCTGATGTCCAGTTTCTGCTATTTGTATGATATATTGCAGTGCAAAAGTGCTGTGAAACATTTTTCATGTACAACAGGACCAGGATAAATGGCTGCATTTATAAGAAAAAATAGGATATTAGGACACGCAGTGGCAGCAGTTTTCAACTTCAGCAAATGTTTTACCTCTGAAGAATGTAGTGACAGAATACCATAGAGGCCTCATTAAATATAACCAGCAGTAGGTTGTTCTTCAATGAATTTCAAAAGACATACATTTTACTTCTATTTGAATGACAGCCCTTCTTGTCCATCTATTCCAGCCCCACTACTCAGGTCAAAATACAGTAGGAGAACAAAGAAAGTTATTAATATTGCTGCATGTGGGAACCTGGGGCCAAGTGCTGCAGTAATGAAAGCAGACTCCTATGCAAACCCTATATTTATAAATCTATTCTTGTATAGATGCAGTATGTACTTGGATCTCTGAGTCACATCTTAAATCTCACCAAAGCTTATCTCAGCCATAACAACAAGCCATAAATCACCTGAACAACGAATGGAAAGAAGTCTGCAGCGCTGTACTGAGACAGAGTTATAAAAAAAGAAAAAGAGAGAGAGGGAGGGTGTACAATATTAATTCTTAATCCCTTGGATGCTGTAATCACTTTCTATTTTAAGATGAGCTGTATTCTTAGATACTTATGTGTAATTGCTTTTTTGTTCAGGAACATTCTAGATTAAAGGCCAGGTGAAGTGTTTCATTGAATTAGTTTTGTAGAGCTCTGCAGCAGACCGTCTTCTGATTCATCGTGGATAAATCTTGCAGATTTTGGTAAGATAACTGCAGTTTGTAACATTTAATGATTCAATTTTGACTATTAATAGAAGCGTTATTATTGAGTACAGTGAACAAATACATACAGTAGCTTCATAGCGTACTGTAATATGGGATGTCAGTCCTACTCTCATAGATTTCCTCTGAGCTCGGCCCTGGTCAAATCATGTTCACAGAACAGTATAACCGAGAGAATCTCGTCAAACTGACAAGAGAGCCAGCTCCTGACTTGAAGAGCTTTAACAAGACATGAGTTGATCTCTTCAAAATCCCTGCCTGTTATCCCTTACATCACATCACAATCCTGGTTGCATCAAGTGGCTTTCTGTCTGATCTCAAAGCTATGAGTTATAAAAGCAGCATTGTTTGTAGATTTAAAACTATGAATCTGACCTCAGGAAGCTCATAGTATGAAATAAAAACCATAATGTGAAGAAGTTAGAAAGACAAATAGAAGGGGCAGAGACGGAGAAGGACCTGGGAGACAGAGATGGGGGAGATTTCTTAAAAATGTGTTTATTTGTGCACCATAAGGTCAGTATTTAAGATTTACTGTGTTCCCTTGCAACCATTTAAAGGTGTTGATGCACCAGGTGCCATAAACAAAAAATACAGCTCCAGTGACAATATGCTTGTGTTGTGCACAAAATACTGCACACATCAGGATTCAGTGTGTCACTTATTTCATTACCTAATTAATTTGTAGCACAAATTTTTTTTTGCAATGCCACTTGGCAAGCATTTTGCACGTGATGTGCAGTTTTCTACTGTACTATATGCCTTGGCCAGCATTAAATTCACAAATTGTAGACAGTTGATAATCATTTTGTGTGCGAAAGTGCATTTTGTGCACAGTGGAAGTGATTTATGCATTTCAGCAAGAGAGACTCCACTCACCATTATCTGCAACTTAATAATGGGACATTCAAAAGGTTTATTTTACACTTCAAGAAGTACAATTGTCAGGAAATGTACAAGATCAGCTACTTACTGGATGACAGATTTCCCGTTCTAAAAGCTGGTAAAATAGAAGAAAACATTAACAGCTTCACAGTACTGCAATCATGTTTATTTCTCCAGTTTGGCATCTAATTTAGAATGCACATCAAACGCTATTCTACAGGCAAATGACCTGCATGCAACTTCATTTGGTAAATGAATGAAATATGTACAGACATAATGTTTGTCATGTCTGAAATATGAAAAAATACAATGCTGTCCTGAAAATGTTTGTTTCAGTGATTAGAAAAAATTAAGACATGTTGTTGTAGTGACTCTTACGAATGGATTTTAGACATGTATTTACTTTCTTTCCTTTTTAACAACCTGCCTGCAGCACTCAGATAATATACATTTGTGATCGGACAATATATTAACACTATTTGCAGTGGAGAAATGTAGATTTATTTAGAGCTGAGTAGCCTATAACAGGTGAAAGTGGTGTCTAATCGCACATGCCAATATCAAAAATACACTGCGTATTTAAAGTCACAAAGCCTCCCAGAGATGATACGTTGTATTATGTGACTTGTATTGCAATAACATACCACCTGGCAAAGACATCAGTGTTAACTGCACCATGGGTTAACATTAATTAATGTTCTATTAACCTGCAGGAGTAGGTTTCTGTTAGCTAATGTAGTGTACAGTGTGTGTCTGTGTCTGTGTGTGTTGTCTGTGTGTGTGGTAAGGACTGTGTATTTGTAGTTTTAGTGTTTTCCTACGAATACTGTCTGCATGCATGTGTGTCTTTTGCAAGACAGCCATGGCCAACCTTATTCGCTGATGATGACCCACAGAAACTAGACTAGTTTTTTAAGCTTTTTATCCTCATCAGTGAGCAAGGTCGAAAATGCATTGATGGTGGAGGAGAAAGAGTATTTTAACTCAGGCCTCCTTCTTCTTCTCAAACTTCAATGATGTTGATAGACGGCACGGAGGGATGAAACTGCAACAGACAGGAGAAATAAAAATCACAATTACTATTTTACTTTGTTCTCTATAGTAAAGAAATGCTGTATCTGGATAAAGAAATTGGGGCCATGAACCCAGGTAGTATTATTTAATTGCCAGAAGACTTTAATAATCTGCTTTCCCTGTAACTGCTGGAAGATTTTGGCTTAGGAAGTGTGAAAAAGTAAAAAGGTGTAGTTACTTCAATGGTATGCTTGGAAGCTAATGCGTGCATACCGTAGCAAGTCATGACAGGTGGCAAATTCTTTTCTCAATTAAATAAAATTTCATACATTTTTCTGTCATAACATTAAATCTCTCTCTTTTACAGCCTGGTTCTGTAAGAACTGAGGAACACTTAAAATGAAAACTAATATTAAAACTAATATATAACTAATATTCAAAGAAATATTAGAAATATATCACATTTACAGGAGATTTTAAATTGAGAGAATTTTAAGACATACATTTCTAAGTTACATAATATTTTCACGAGTTCTAGATCAATAGTTCAATATTCAATTACGTTTTTTTATTCAAATTACCAAAAATGTGGCCCTGAACTGTCTCCTTACATCCGCTCTCTCGTGCTATTGGCAAGTCTGTGTGTGGTCATTCTGTCAATAACATAAACACCTTAAGCGTGTTATTGACTGATACTAGAGAGAGAGTTTGTGAAGTCCTCGTCAGAACTTCGGTGACAGAAACCTCACATCAACACCCGACCACCTAATGAGGACTGGAAGGAGAGATAAGCCAACACAGTGAGAAATCCTACAACGATTGCCCCTCAGCTAATTTAAACAATAGAACTCAATATGTCGCTGCGTTAAATCCTAGCCAGAGGACAACACCCACAATGCAAATGACCTTGATTATCGATTGGTCACAGCCAACTGAGCTTTGACTGCATATCTACTGTTATCTGTGTAAAGGCATTTTTCGAACAATTTTATATATTTGTAGGCATGGACAATTTCTTTTTTTTACCACCAACTGTATTATTGTAGCACATGCAACATATATGTTGTGTAAGAGACATGAATTGCCATGTATGAGATCCAGTTGAGCAAATAAGCTATGTGGTTATGATGTGTTCTTACAACAGTGCTGTCTATAAAAAGCTGAATAACTTAATGCTTAAAGGTAATGTTTCAGCACAACAGTTTACAGTAATGTTTACTGTACTAGTTATATACCAGAAAGTGGTAAGCATTTACATATAGCACGGTCTCGAATGGATATAGATATTACTGTGAATAAAATTAGTTAAATCTTCCAAAACAGAAAGGAAAACAGAAAGTTAAGTCCTTTATGTCACATTTATGAGGATCTAAAGGCCGAAATGCAATATAATATTCACTGGTGTGTTTTCATTAGTGTAAAATCGCTTGAAAATAAAAAATTCTTGTGTTTTGTTACCTTACGATGAGCCATTTTTATCTGCTGCAGGTCACCTTACACGAAGGCCGCCATGGTGAACTGCTATGTTTCTACATTCGCCCAGAACGAACAAACCAAAAACTGGCTCTAGATAGGATTGTTTGCCTTTGTCGCGGCCACCGTAGTTTCTACCTCACTCTTTGAAAGGGAGGGTGAAGCGAATGAGTTGCGATTTGCAACTACACCACTAGATACCACTAGACCCTACACACTGGACCTTTTAATTTTTTTTATTTATTTATTTATTTTAACCAGTGATAACAGTAATCATTTATTGTCCTTGTTTAAAAAAAACAAATGTAATAAAAATAAGCATGTTTTCCTCCAAGAAGTTAATGCTATTTTCTAATCATATAAATGTCAATGTATGTGTTGGATTTTAACCATGGGAACAGCTGCTTGCTGTTAATTTATGACTAGTCTAAAAGAGTAAACCACACAGACGTGATGGCAATATTTTAGTTACTGATCAAGCACAATTTATCCATCATTAATCATGCTGTATTGTATTTGTTTTTCACCCTGTACAGCACAGATGTACCTTTATTCTACAATAATTGTGTTAAATGCAGCGTAACCAAGTTTGTAGTTGTGAAGTGCCGAAGAGGCGGTGAGGACAAAACATCACATCCTCCAACACATCAGACACATTAAACACATCGACATGTTTTCACAGAAGACATTTTGAGACGTAGGAAAAGTGCAGGTATAAATAATAAAATGACTGATGGCTGAAATCAATTTAGCTGCTTCAGTTCCTCCTACTATGACAAGTCAGAATGTCTGCTGTGAAAAAGGTCTGTGCTGTCAGGACCATCATTTAATATAGATGGTGAGACACTGAGGGCTCAGGATCGTTGGAGCCAATTTTGTGTCAGGGATACATGGATGACACTGGTGTGCATGTTTTCAGTATGCAGTAAATGAATTCAGACAAAAATACTGAAGAGATCTTAGGACCTGAATTCAATCAGATGAGTCGTGCTCACCTTGCTCCTCAGCAGCCCTCCGCTGTGGTGCTCCGGCGTGCTCCTCTCGGACGATGGCTTGGCCTTCTCCTTATTGTTGCTGGAGTCGTTGTCCTTGATGATGTCATACTGCCGGCAGAACAGGGCAATAACGGCTGCCAGGAGGTGAGGGATGGGCGACACACACACACACACACACACACACACAAAAGAGGACAAGAATTCAGTCATGAGGCAGCGACTGTCACTCATAGACATGTCAGCACTTCCTCTAACTGAGCACGTTGAAAGGCCGTGTGGATAATGGAATTCTGCTCCCAAGGGAGAGAGCGATGGCTGTGCCTTTATCTGAAAGCTTGGAAGACAGTAATTCTCCATGGAGTTTGCTTTCTTACATTTTGCAATCTGCCAAATGCATTTCTGCTTTTCAGTCTGGATAAGTACTGTACAGTTAAGTTCCCTGCTTCACTGAGGTTATGAATTTCTATGAGAATGCCATCATTAAATATTCAGAAACTGATATGCAGTTCTAATGACAACTCGGGAGCTGTGAGGAATACTCAGAAGCATAGCGTCATTCATTCAATTCACAAATGATCATTTATGTATCGTGTAAGTGCTCCGCAATATTGCAGCTACGTGTCAGTGTGTCTGTAGCAGAGAGGCATTCATGGTTACATACACACATTTACACTGGTTTGTTTTACGGTTCCATTACTGAAGTGATTTGTCTGCTTCTAAGTGTTAACACTTTATTGTAATGTTTGTAATGTGCTCAAAATAATGTGACATTTTTCTCAGCAGAGCCTTCAGCTACATTTTAAGCACTAACCAACAGCCGCTTACACCCATTACACAATATAGCAGATTAGATTGCATCATATCAAAGCAATTATCTAATTACTTTATAATTAAATTCATTTTTTTTTCAGACCAAGACTAATAGTAACAGAGATAATGGATGAAGAGATAGAGCTTAATAAATAAGTACAGAAATAAACAATGTGTTTCAGATTATTAACTTCTGAAGAGGTTTGAGGCCTCACAAAATGAGGGAATACGTTAAATCTTGTTTTTAAACTGGACTGGCTGCAAATGAGCAGTCCCTCATGAATACGCCACATGAGGTGTTTTTATTCTTTCACTCCCACTCTTCACAGCCTCCGTGTTACTTTGGTTTCTCTCATTAGTATTATTTAACATCTCACTCTCGTGCTCGTAGGCGGGAAACCCAGCTCCTGGCAGCCTGTCAGATATGCCACTTCTCATTGTGCCTCAACACTTCATTAATCAGCACACTTCCTCAAAGGAGTAGAAAATCATACTGGGATGGGGAGCTTAGATGCAGAGAATGCTCAGAGAAGCGTGATGTTGGTTCGACATTGCCGTTGTGAAAAGGCCTAAAAGGGACAGGATGTTCCGTTGTTACATTTATTTCTGATTGGTTTTTCGGACACTAACTTCCTCTTAATGGGGATCCGATAGTTCTTGTGCTGGATGACTGTTTTATTAGTGGCTTATTGATTATTGTGTCAATGTATTGATCAGGCTACAAGGTAATCTACAGTGTGAGACCTCTCAGATGTGCATCATTAGTCTTCATCATTGAGGCTGACAATAAACGGTGACATTTTATGTTAACATTTTGCTGATCAGTTGAAAACTAAAACTGAGTGAAACCTGTAGCCTGAGCTCCAGTGACCATTAGTCAGGATTCTGTACATTTATCAGCCCCTGAAAGCTTGGTTTTAAAGTAATTACATATTCATGATAGTACTACTACTACTACTTAAACTACTTGGTTTCATTTAATTTCAGTTTGATCAGATTTGATTGTCAGTTGCCGGGCAACACAAGCAAACACCTAAACAACTGTCATCGCATTTTTTGTTAAATGTTGCAAAACTGTCATTGGTGCATGGAAATGTGTAAAGCAAGGACCAAATTAAAAGAAAAGTACAGAAATCTCTCATGTATGTCAGAAAATACTGTGTTCATGTATGATATTATTGCTCATTGTAAGAAGCTGATTGAGTAGGTTTTCGGGCCCTATAGTGCTTTTCCTGTTGTTTAGTCCAGATTTCTTTCTCTTCTGTCCTAAATATTATTAACCACACACAGTCTACAAAAACCTACCTGCCCACATGACCAAGACCACCACGATAATGATCATCTCTCCTGTTTGTAGATGCCGGGACTTGTCCAGGCCTTGCACAGTGGGATCATCTAGGAAAAAGGACAGACAGGACAGCGGTCGTACTATAAATACAGACTCTTGAAACACGAAATACTGAATACAAAGTACTGAATATTTTGTCCTTGAAAGAGACAAAATAAGAGATTAATTACAGTGCAATTCAATAAAACAACAACACAAACAATGGCACTGAAACAGCAGTGTGTCTCAGTGACAGCTGAACAATCATCACAAAGGTAGTGTTGCTTGCAGAGCTTTTTTATTGATAATGTAAGATGTCCAACTTACATTCTGTCAGTGAGGACGGACAAAAATGGACCCAGTTTATCTCTCATGACTAATATGCCATTTAACAAAACCTGTAGTCGTCAGAAAATGGGGTAGGCATTACCACATGTAGCATTAATCCTCCTTTAAGTGGATTGACTATGGGCCTATTTCCACTCTCCAAACTATCTCTTTACCCGCATGGATGGAACTGTTCCAGAGCACCACTCTTCCCAATTGCCTCTTTTAGTGAATCAAGTTGTCAAGAAACTGGCCCCCGAATGCCAAACTGTCACCTCTCTTCACATGATGGCTATTACTATTAGGGAGTGGGGTCAATTATACTGCCGTTTTTTTTAGTCTTGGTAGTAGTGTATGGGTGTGAGTGGAGAGAAGGGGGAAAGGGGTACATTACATTGGGTATTTAAAATGGCCACAAATCACAGAAACGCTTTGATGTTAATTTATCAGTATGGAATAAGAACTGCTGTACGCAGGGCTGCATGTGTACTTAACTTGGAAGTTAGTATAAAAAGAATGAAAGAAAATATGTTCATTTCTGACTTTGGGTCATGGTAACTTCTGTTGTAGAGATTCAGGAAACAAACTGTAGCAAAACAACTTATATCAGGCAAACAGCACAGGCTTCTCACAGCTTCACTAACACTAACTAACTTTAATTTTACAGAAAACATTTGGCTTGTCAAACATTTGTCTTTAACTCTAACTAAAAAAACCTCCTATCTAATAACTAACAGGGTGAGATCTCGTCCAGCTAATAAAGTGCTATGAAATTCCCTTGTTTCCCTGGGCAGCGTTATCTTGCTAAGGCACAGGGGAGGGATAATTCTTGGTAGTAGCAGGTAGGTTTTTTGCCAGGACAAAACACTGTCAATAAACCTACATGACTATCAGGAGGAATATATATTCACTTGCCTCGGCTAACTCAGACCGCTGAAGCTTCATTTTAGCTTCAGCTGAACTGCAGAATGCATTTCAGAATGCGGACTGTAGAGTTTCTCCTCCATATTTTAAAGTGTAGTTGCTTGGTATCACCAACCAGCTTGTTCAACCTACATATGACATGTGAGTGTGAATTTAAAATCAACCTGCATCATCTTCTGTGTGTTCCCACTGCACAGTGTGCTCTAGAGCTCATAGCAGGCTGCACATGACCCTTAAATGCCAGATCAGGACTCAGGTCAGTGCTGCTGCGAGTTGTTCTCCAGTTTATTAATCCCACATGTCCGTCTGAAGCAACCTACTCAATAATATAGTTCTTCGGCATACTAAAAGATATGAGTTATGTTTATGCATATGGAATCTACTGGTAGAAATATTGGGATGATGTGGCTTTTCAGTAACGAATGTATCTTTGAGAGTTTTGTATTTCCAACTGAACCTCTTGTTCTTGTTTACAGTTTAGTAGTTGATCTAATGACCCTACTTAACTTGAAAGGGCTTTGGTGCGTGCAGACTGTGCAGCATGCTGCAATATGTATATTTTCATATTTGATGCAATGGGTTTTCACAGAGTGAGTGAACAGAATTTCCAGATGACCTGAATAACATGTGCTGCTGCTGTATCATACATATTTCATGCAATATACTGTGTGATGCTCTGTTAGTAGAGAATGAGCGGGTTGTGGTACCTCCAGTGCACCAAAGAGTTTGTGTTGAGATAATTAGTTGACCTTGCTTCTGCTCACCCCAAATCCCATGATGTTGTTTGTGGCTGTGAACTGTGTCGGGAATCTGTGTAACAACACACCAGGGGTTCTGTGCTTGTGTCACAAAGATACATTGTGTGATTTATTCTTGCATTATGTCTCCTTGAGACTGAGCAATTGCATTTTTAGGTTTCAGTACACTGGTTCGACCTAAAAACACAAGTTTGCCTGCTGCCTTAAAACAAGAGTTAACTACAGTTGAATTAGTTCAAAGACATCCTATAGGTTGTGAAAACTGAAAGTGACTGAATAAAAGTTGCATCAACAACTGTACAATCAGACTGACAAACATTAAACCTTGTTTTTATTACGTTTTTCAGTTTGAATAGATCTTCACTTCACATGAAGAATCTGTGGTGCACAAGTGGCACCATGTATAAAACATTAGCTAATGATGGAAAGTTGTGAAATTGTGTACCAGTTGAAGTCAAAATAATATTTTGCCTCTGTCTCAGTGCTGTTAATGGGACAGCCTAGTAGGTGTAGCTTGTGACTCAGCAAAGGCTGCTTGACATCTCTTTGAAGTATCACACGGTAATTGTGTCTGAGGGGACCACCTACCTAGTTAGGTTTGACTACTCAAGGCATTCATCCTTTGAAAATATTCTCTTTTTGCACTCTTGTGAGAAACAGCTTGACAGCTTAGTGGCAGCAGCAGATTTTTTTAGCAGTTTCTTGTATTTTGTATGATTATTCAAGATAACAACTACCACATTTCCCCACTTTTATCACAGTTCTCCAATAAATCTTACTTTATAAATCCTTATTTCCAAAAGTCCTTTTATTATGCTGAGGTTATACCTGTTTCAAATTAATTATATTTGAGTTCTTCAAAAACATGTTTACTTTGCACATGTACATAGATAGACTAGATTGCTTAATTAATACAAATACAATCTTAGAGACAGAACTCCACAGCACAATGTACCTCACTATTGAAGGGTGGGCAAAGCACATAAATGTATATAACCTGATTAAAAGCTTTCCATGGACTTTGGAAAGACATATTGATCCTGAGGAGGGGGGGAAATTGTGTAGTCTATATAAATTCAAATTCCCTAGCAACACATGGCGTGTATCTTGCCAGGAAATGCTTGATATGAAATAAATGGATTCTGAATCTGGCCAGGCCAGGTTTACATTGAGTGGCATATACACTAATATGTAATCACATTATCAGAAAGAAATGCATTGAGGAAAAATAAAAGCATTATTGATTCATGGGTATCATAGCTCTAGCTCTTGGGTATGCTGGGTATATACCACAAATCAATTTAGTTTCAATAGGAAGCACTTGACTGTGACAAAAGATCTTTGAAATGGCTCTGTGATGCTGGAGCCAGCTAGATTAAAAAGGCTTTTAAGAAACAATGATTAGTAGCAAGACAAACAAAAAATGTCACATTAAATTAAGGTGCATTAAGGTGTATGAAGAATACATACATTGTTATTTTAGAAGTAACAATCCTTTTAGAGCGGGCAAACGCTTGTTAAGAATACTTTAGTTTTCAATAAATAACAGATATTATTTTTCATGGGTTGTGGGAGTTAATGGTCCAGTGTGTAAGGATTTATTAGCAGAAATTGAGTATAATATTAATTTGTTTTCATTAGTGTATAATCAAATGAAAATGTATTGTGTTTTTGTTGAATGTGTCGTTTTTATCTATAGACGCCGCCGATCCTCTTCTACGAAGTACGCTGTGTTGAATTGCCATGTACAGTAGCTTAGAACAGGCAAACCAAACACTGGAGTTTTACGTCCGCTGTAGTTTCCCCTAGAGACTTAGAAGGCAAGCAGTATTCAGTCAGTTGCAATCTGCAACTTCACTGCCAGATGCCAAAAATCCTACACACTGGTCCTTTAATGTGGTCGCTACAAGGAGTGTGTAGTAGAAAGCCTTGAATTCTATTGTTGAGTTAGAATTAAAACTTTTTAATTTGGACAGGTTGACAACCTGTTGGCTAATATTAGCCACATTAGCTAGCTGATGCAACAAAGTGTACATTTTAGAAGGGAAGTTAAGATGAGTGAATTCATGTAATTGATCTAAAAGTACATTTACATAAGTATATTTTTTCTGCTTGTACTGGAATTGATGGAAACGATAAAAAACTGCCATTAATTCCCTTACGAGAGATCCAACCGTTTATGCAGGATTTATGAAACCCACAGTTTACAATAGGATACATCAGCATGCTACAGCATTGCACTTGACACAAAATGTCAAGTGGAACCATTGCTAGTACCTTATCTTATAGCAGTGGGCCAGTTTATACAGGATTGAACACAGATAAAACGTCAAACATTTAGCATGTATGCATGTTTTTTGTCCTACTCAAGACTCACCTGAGTCAATGCATGTAAGTATCAGCTTAACTACTGTCGATATACTTTTTTAGTATCTCTGAAGTACTGTTAGTTATGCGTTGCTGATGTTGTAGTTACAGCTACAGTAGTACAGTAAGTGTAATACTTACATCACTATCAATATAATCATCTATTAAAGGAGTATTACTCACAGCTGCTATGTGTTGTGTTTTTCCCAGGTGGATGTGTGTATTGTGTGTGTCACTCACACACGGTCCACAATACATTTGCCGACAATATCAGAATCAAAATATACAAAGGCACATAGCCAAACATGAAAAGAGAAGCTGAGCAATAAACTTGACAAGAGTTACATAAATAAACTAGATGTGATTGGACTTCGAAACTGGGGCATGAGAAGTCAGCAGTGCTGGCATTAGATTTATGGAAAGCTGACACTGATTGCTTCTACACTTACAAAAACAAACTCCCACAAATGAAGCTCATTCACTGGATGGGCTGTTTTTCTGACCCACTTGGATGACTCGGAGGGTGGAGGGCTACAAATCCTGATTAATGTTGCATGGTGAATCTTTTCCGAGAGTCTTGAAAAAGTAGTAGAGCACGGGTCGTACGTCTTCTCAAGCTCAGCACTTTGTTCAGATATTGACGGTTAGTTATCTTTCTAAAGTCATTTGCTTTTAACTTAAAACTCAAGCACAGAATATCATTTCCTGAGTGTTTGATGTAAAGCAACAGGAATAGACGGTAATGCTTGCTTCTGTACTATCTTAATGGACAGAACAGAGGCTCTTGTGTTGAACTTGAGCCTGAATTTATTTTTCTTTTGCCAATCATGGCAGCTTAACTAATGGTACCAAGCCTGAGTCAGCCAAATAGAAACATTTATTAGTCAATTGCATCAGCACTTCCTATACTGTATTTACAACCCCAAGATAACAGAGGAAAAATAGTTTCAGGCCTGGGTCTAGAACAGTGTCAAATGCAAGCTGTCATAATTTTCTAACTTAATGCATTTGGCTCATCCCATAATCATGGCTGAACTAATGCAGATTAGCAAAGTAGTTCTCTCTGTAATGTAGACTCTTCCAAAATGCTTACAATAGAAAGCAAATAGCTTTTTCTCTCTATTTCCTCATGTGTGCTGTAAGAAATTGAGAGCCACTGAACTTATTCTCTATTGGTCACGGTCACTTCATATTTCTTCCAACCCATGAGCGGGGCCCAGACACTGAATCCAAAGTGTTTTAGAGTGTGTGTCAGAATCCTGATTAGGCACCCAGAGCGATATAGAGTTGCATAAATTCAGAGGAGCTTGCCTCTAGCCATGCTTGAAGAGCCTGTCAATAATGAATTGGTGTGTAGGAGAAAATAAACCTGCAAGAAGCACGTAGAGCCCCCTCAGAGGGACGCTGTGAGAGGAGGTTACTTGCACTTATGTCGGCACTAGCCTTTACTGTACCTCATTTTCAATGTCAGGGTGCTTAAAAGCATTCAACAGCCAGAAGAGGCTTTAGCGCAACAGCAGGAGAAAAGCATCTGTAATGGGTTGCTCCTGTCTGTGCCTCGGGAAAAAGACCTGTGGCTGTACCATATAATGTAGAATTAAGAGCAAAGCATTATGTTACGTAACAGAGTGAGATTAAACACTGTGAAAAAATTGCTGCAGTGACCTATTGTGACCTATCAGTTATACTGCAGTTTGACAAACTTTATAGCACCTTGTTGACTTGGAGAGAGATTCTGACCTCACACAATACCTGGCAATGATTTCTTAAAAGGATATCATTTTGTTAGTTTTAACAAATCCCACGTAGACAGCAAAACAAACAATGAATTCATCCTTCAAACAAGTATTGTATCCAAAGCCTGATATAGCTTATACCTCTGTGACATAGAACTACATAATCATTCACAAACATATGAAAAGTCATAACAGAGCAACACCACTGCACTGGGCCAAGTATGTATTTCTTCATTACTACGAACATTTAATTTCATCCTTGTTGACTCTGCTTTGTTAATTTGACCACACAGGCTATGTTCAGCTAATGAAGCAATGTGTCACCAAGTGCAGCCTCGTGTTTTTGTTTGCTTTTAATAGTTTCTAGCCATGTAGCACAGCTCAGGGGATGGAAATGTTGGTCTGTTTGTTGGTCGGTCCATCATTTTAGTTCAGACTGAAATATCTCAACAGCTATTGGATGGAAGTCCATATAATTACAATATAATACAGTACATCCATTGTCCCCAGAGGTCTTAATGGCTTTGGTGATCTCCTGACTTTTCATCTAGCACCATCCTCAACTCTAAGTGCAGCCTCACATGGCTATAGACTCTTAGTTTTGTTTAAAGTTTTCAAACAATAATGGAGTTCCATGGCAAGAAGCTATAAACTATATCTGCGGCTACACAAACAATACTTGTTAGCAGGATAGATTGATTGTTGTCCTTTGTTTGAAGAAGGTGTATCTCAGAGCAGCTTACCTTGATTGGAGCTGTTGGAGGGGAAGCGGTCTGACTTCTTGAGGGTGCGAAAATGGATCTTCTTGCTGGCTTGGCTTTCCCCATAGAGGCCAATCGACTGGACCTGGATGATGTAGTCAGTCTCCTCCTCCAGATCCCAAAGAACACAAGAACGGCTGGTGGTGTTGACTTCCCGAATGAATCTCTGCGTGTGTCCTTCCTGCCTCTAGGGATTGGAAGAAGGATAGAGAACAACACAATACATTGATCTTTTGAGTAGATACAGTAATCAATACAGTGGACAATGAGGTGGTCAACACAGAAACACCAGCCCTGCAAATGTGTCCCTAAGGAAGACACTCTTTTCTGTAAAAAGTCTTCTTGCCTGACTTTATCTATATCTTTATAGGGCAATATTGCACTCAACATCCTAAAAAAACAAACAAAAAAAGCAATCATGTATCTCTATAGGGCTATAACAATGTGAGACAGAGGTGACCAACCATGAAATATTCAAGGTGCGGGAGAATGACATGCTGAGTACTTTATTATGTTAACAGTTGGCACACTATTTTCGCCATATGGAGTCTTGACTGGAAATTGAAAAGTTGTGAAGTCAATTTTCTGATTAATTTAGACTGTAAGTACCTTCAGTCACAAGCTTCCAAAGTCTCAGACTTTGTCTTTGACCTTCCAGAGTGTTACTGGAGAAATCAAGGCCCAAAGCTGCGAGAATCATTCCTTCTGCTTGCATACAGAGCTCTCTTCATAGTGTGCTCCCTAGCCCATCTGCACTTCAAGTGGCTTTGGGCCAAATGTCCTTTCCTTATGTGTTTTTTATGGACCTGCTTGATTGAGAGATCTGATTTTAAAAAAAGCTCCTTATGCTCTGTAAACACTGTATAATGTAATGATTCAAGCGCCATGTATTCTCAAAGCAATTACCAAACATGTTAAAATTCAGCTGCATAACATGATGAACAGCCCAAAGGAGAGACGTTTGGCTGTTACATACAGCCCATCAGACACATGAGTCAGTAGCAAAGTTAAATGGCTGCATAATGTTTTGAGTTGCACAAAGCATAAACATGATTACAGCAGCATATGGCCTTCTGTCGTTCAGTGTTAGCATTCATTGGCTTTCCTATTCTAAGCCTTTGAAATCTTTTCATGCTAAAAAAAAATGCCGTTTGGCAGCTTCACATACTTTTGTGCATTCCCTGCTGCACCCTTGTTTTCTCTTGACAAATCGACCATGCCAAGTTTTATTTAAGTCCGGGCTTGAAGGCAAGATTTAGTCAGCCTTTCAGCATGCTAAGCAAAGCTTTAAGGGGTTCATAAGAATATACATCCAGACAAACACAAATCTTTATTCAACCAGGATCTTATTCTTATGTGCTACTACTCACTCAGTATGCGGAACAAACTCATGATACATCGTGAGGTGTTTGCTGAGCTCACAAAAACTCCTCTATAGACTTCAGTCAGTGAATACATTATTAGAATAGAAAAGGAGCATTTCATTGTCTGAAAGAAAAAACATTTATATATATTTAATTTGTGAATTTGGCCCAATATGTTCCAAAGGCTGTCAAGAAATGTGACATGGTTGAAAATGAATTCCAGGTGCACTTCTTCGTTCTAGCTACTGGCTGCGTGGTGTGCCAACAACTTTTCAACAGGACACGATTAAGGCTCAATGCCAAACCACCGATGGCTCCAGCCAAAAATAAAAACTAATGCAGTTATCTCTTTTTGGGGCTGTCCCTGATTCTTATTAGAAGTTTAGGACTTACCTGTTGAGAGATAGAAAAGCCAATTATTATGTCTCCCTCTGGAACCTCCCAGGATACAGTTGCCGAGTCAGCCCGCAGGTGCATGACGGACACATTGACAGGAGCTGGTGGCCGGTCTGCAGGAAAGGAAACGGTGACAGAGGGGTCTGTTAATCCGCCCATTTCTCTAGATATTAGATTATCCATGCCATCTGTGTCCACACTGCACCTGGAAAGTCTCAAGCATTGTGTCAGCACTGCAGGTGTTTGTTTTGAATTAAAAGTCTCAAAGTTCACTGTATCAAATCCTCTGATCAAACAATAAGATTAAAAAGTATTAAGTCCAAAGTAAACACCTCAGTTAACTTTTTAACTATGGCTTGGTTGCATTTTATTATGAACCTACAGGATTATTAAAAAAAGATTCATCCATTTGTCACGTTTTCCTTCTAAACAGCCTTATCAGTAACCACACTGTTTCATGTCCACCTCCTTTGGACAGGTTCACGTTTCTTCACCCAGTCACTTCGCTGCCATCTATCATGATTTGCTTGCCGCGGACACGTTGATTGCGAATTGGGACAAAAGCCTGGGAAGCAAAAGCCAAGAGAAACAGAGGGTGACAGATCTAATAGAGGGCTCCGTATGGCTTCACAGTGTCCAGGCAATCGCTCGGGTCAGATGGAAAGGTAAGATGGGATCAGCCGGGCAGATGGGGACCTGGAGGCCATCCTAAGGGGCTTTTGTCGGTAACGCAGGCCTAATGGACTTCATGTGTTGTCACAGAGAGTAACTGATGCTATGTTGTCCCTGTCGAGGGAGTGGAAATGTCTTGAAAACTCAGATATGTGAAAGATAAAGGCAAAAAAAAGAACATGCCTCATGAGTTGTAACAACAGTATCACAGCTGCTCTTTAAGCACCAGTAGTACGATTTCTAGTTACAGCTTTCTGTAGCAGTTCACTACAAAGTGAGCTTTAATGACACTTTGTACAGTCAATTTGTATTTCAAACGCTTGTATTAACTCACAGGGCACAGGCTTAATAACCCATAACACAGTTGTCTTGAGATGACAGCCAAAGGCATGTGCTGTACAAGGACAATATTACATCCAAAAAGTGCACTCGAGAGAGAAAGATGAAAGAGAAAATTATTAAATTGGGAGCTATTTCAAATGATTTGCCGTTTTCTATATCAGTCCCTCTCACATCCCTCTCCTCTTATCTCCCCGTGTCTCCTCTTATCTCTGCCTCTCCTACTCTCTCTTTTGCCTCTTGCACTTCTGTCTCTTTTATCTCAGAGACAATCAAGAATGGCCTCTGTGTTCGGTGCAAAAGGGTGACATTGAGGCAGATCTCAGGACCCTCAGGTGAGAAGAGGGTATCAGTCTCCCTCACTCGGCCCTTGTGGCACTATGAAGCACGGGGGGGTCAAGGTCAAGCACAGGCCCGCCACTCGGTTCCTCAGGCTCATGACACGCTCAGAGATTGGTTTGCAGAGGGGAGTGAACGAGAGGAACAAGAGGCAAGACTAATGCTTAGCCTGTGATAAAGAGCACAAGAGGAAATGAATGTCCCAACTCAGGGAGAGAGAGTGGGGAGCAAGGTGGGCTTGGCTGTTGGTATCACTGGTATCAAGAGGTTAAGAGGTTATGTATGTCTCATTTGATCCGTGTAATGAGAAGCTTATTTTTGGAAGCAGGTGCTGTAATGTGCCAGGATAGACGTACAGTAGGTTGAGAGGGCGGGCAAGTCACATATAGTGTATATATATTGTCCTTGATCTTTGGAGAGCTGCAGCGAATGAGTCATACATATATTTACAGTAATGGTTCCTGTGTCCTTGTGCCTTGGCAATGTCTAAATGACTGTGTTACTTTCGTGATCTGAACATTTGATGGTCGTGCTAAGGATCCTATAACTAAATCTATTGCAGTATCAATAAACTTACATACTTACTCGGATGTTTGCATATGGCTTTGACACAGCAGGGTTATATGTTTCTTTCTCCATATCTCGTTATAAAACTCTCACAATGAACAGCCTTGCATTTCTAAAAGCCACACAGAAGCTTTGATTCTTGCAACTGCACCATCCCCAAGAATTATAAGGCTATTCATTCAGGATGAATCTGAATAGCTGGCACGCAAACGTTTTCAAGCGTAGAGTGCGGCACGTGTCGCACAGCGCCCACGCCCTTCAGAATCAGGTGCAACATTTGTCTAAGACAGGACACGTTCATTTCTCTTGAGGATCATTGTCCTTTAGGTAATGGGGGTTACAGACAGCCACACATGGGCAAAACAGCAGTCAGTAACCATGATGCATTGTATGGGCGTCATTTACTGGTGATGGAGCAAGTAACAGTTCAGCTGAAGCAGGCCATTAATCAGCACTAATGTACAAGTGCCCTCTTTCTATATGATGTTGTTTACATTGCACGTGGTTGAGCAGGACAAGTATATTTTCCAAGTAGCTGAGAAAGGGGACTTTTTGGACTGTAGAACATAAGGAACTAAAACTACACACACTAACATTGTTGTTATCATTCATTTAATATGTTAGAAGCTCATGATACATAGGAAAACAATGCTCTCAGTGTTTCTCAATGTCAGCTTATGAGCAGACAACAGATGATGGGAATTTCCAATGCAAATGTTTTTATTGTCCGATAGTCCAATCCTCTTCCCAGTGTTCCTTTCCAGCTTGTTTGATTTTCCTTGCTGTAGTATTAAGTGTCATTGTGGATACTTCAATATTTGTTGTTGGCCATGTGTCCTGAGTGAGCCCCACTCCACAGAATTCATTATGTAAGATCTGAAATCAAACAGCAGTAGGTCACAGCGGCCGAGGCGTGTGTCAGTGCAAACAAATGGTAAGACCCTCTTGGGATGTGGGCGCACTGGCAGGATGAATCATAGCGCATATAGCCAAAGCCCAGCACATTAGCTACTCCCCATCTAACCAGAGTGCACAGAGAGAGTGAAAGTGCAGGTTGACACGCCACGTGGAAAAGAAGCCCAGTTTGAATTTATGAGAGCGAGGGTATCTTAGCTTTTGCCTCTATGTTTGCTTGCATAGTACAATTGTGCAATAAGACTAAGCCTTGTGTCGCTTTTGATCACAGACCACCTTGGATAACCATAACATTGATTAAACGGAAATAGAAAAATCTGATGTGAGTAGAAAATTGGAGATTACGTTAGCTGTCAGATCTACCAGGAACAACAATGTGACAGATGTCATCTCTGTGATACTATTTCCAGGAGCCACTTCTGTGTTTAGTTTGATGCCACCCGAAGAAAAGCGTTAAGGTTAAAATGCGTAGCCAATGAAAAACAGCGACATAGTTGTCTTTCTGTGTTTGCCTTTTGAACCTGATGTGTGTTATTGAATGATAGCACTCTTGAATAAATAAAAATGTCACTTCTGCACCTAGGGAGCCTCTATTTAAGTCACTGTTTAATGGCCCTCATCACTATTTGTGACTAGATACTGTATCTGGATGCCAATCAGACATCGTATTCCATGCATTTCTTTTAAAAAGAGTCATTGACCTCTGCTAATAGGCTCCGGTTAGTATCAGAAATCCTCTGCAGATGAACTTCTTTTAACTTCTTTAAACACATTGGAACCCAGTTCTTTCTTTTGGGTGATTTTATATGATAAAAATCTATTTATAACCTCATGCACTCATTTCCAGTTAGTAGTGCGACAAAGTGACATTTTCCAAAAATTTCCAAATAAAGACTGAAGCTACTCGTGCTTAATTGTACAACAACATCAGTTCTGACATGAATGAGTGCTCCGCTCATTGTTCTGTAATAAACGTTCGTAAATGTTCCAAATGATCGATCAGTTCGCTAACAACACAATAAAACTCCCAAAGGTGCATAAATTCATATCGCTTCAAACTCATTAAAAAGGCAAAACACTGTGCTTTACGGAGGCTGCGGACTCCCAGCATTATCGATCATATTTCAGTCTCAATTACCTCTAAGCTAGTGACAGTTTGAAGGGCTACTTACAATGTAATCCTTCTCTAATACTTATGATGCCCGAGTCCCTTGTGAGATAATATATTCACTGGCATCTTATAAATAAAGGCCGTAACTCATAAACAGGTGCCTCGAATTTTGATGTGTTGCCCAGTCAATCTTCAAACAGCTGGATGTGTTTCAAACCCGGTCGTGGGGAGTCTAAATGTTCTCCTCTGCACAGCAGGAGGTTGTCACACAGCAGCTCACCGGCCTCCGTGTTGCAAATCGCCTGGTAGTGGGGCTCTTAAGCAATGTCGTGCTGCTTCAGCTGAGCCAGAGCATTCCCACGTCGTATTACCTTTGAGGACCATTTTCTTGTTTCATCTCCGAACTCTTTTCCCTCCTGAGAACTTGCCTTTTTCTTTCACGTATGATGCCATGTGGGAGCTGTGACTTTATGTTATCTTTGCTTAATTCTCTACAACACTAGTATTTATCTAGTGCAGCAAAAAGAGTTTATATGGATATAGATGGAGGCTCCAGCCAGGCGTGGCTAAGTCTTGTGCTTTTTTCTGTGCATTTCAGAGCCTCGCTATGGTAGGGGTACTTACTGTCTTCCTTTAGGTACACTCTGTCTTCTTTGAAACGCCAGTGGGTCCAGATGGGACCAGGTGCCAATCTAAGGTTAATATAATCACTGGCCAAGCTCTAAGGCTTTTCAACCGCGAGCTAACATTACTATATCATCCCAAATCTGTACAGGCTAGTGAGCAGTGACGTGCAGGAGCTGATTTCTAAACAACTTGTATACAAGAAGAGTTTGTAGCAATAATCTTATTGGCTACAGTCTTACTGGTCTTCTAAAATCTAGGACTTTTTTTTTTTCAACACACTAACTGTTATTTAACTGTCGGCCATGTGACAGCAGCTGAAATTATGACAACATGAGCAAACATCGGCCCCCGCGCTGATGGATTCAGCTCTAACACAGAATGTGTCACCAGGTTTATGAACAGCAGATTGCCAATTTGAAGAATGATACGAGCTTGGCCATCTAAATCAATCCAATCATTTCTAATTCACATTTGCTCAGTGCCCATAGCTTTAGTTAAGCCTCATGTGGGATTAATTTCCGAGCATGCTTGTTTTCAGACTGACAAAAGTAAATATAGTTATCCACATTCAAGTATTACTTGTCAGTTTGGACCAAGAAAAAACACCTGTGAGTTTATACTGTTTTATATTGACTTTCTCAATAGCGTTTCGATATCGGAAGCTCAGTCCTGACTTTATTCATCTGGACCATATGTCATTTCTGCAGGTTTTTACAAATCTGCTATTTTACCAACGCAAATTGAAAGACGTTCGCCGTGTAGATTATTGTGTAATCACGACTCATGTTTAAAAGCATGCTCAATGGATAAATGCAAAAAAGCTTTGAAGTAGGTGAGATAGAAGAAAAACTGGCTTTATAATGCTAGCATTAACCATCCACCATTACATTATTTTAAGCAAATTTGCATTAATCGTATGAGAGACTTCACTGAAATGCTTCCCTTTCCTGTGTTCAGATTCAGATTCAGATTCAGAAATACTTTAATAATCCCAGAGGGAAATTATATTGAATCTATGTTGAATAGATGAAATTTTCATGGACAACCTCATGATGAACCAAAGAGGCTTACAATTAATTTAGACCTTCCTCTGAATGAAATGCCACTGTGAATCCCACAGTCTCATAGCATGCATAGGGCGGTCAGTAATGGATTCAGCATTTATTTCCACTTACTTTGAAGCTCATTGCAACAGCCAAATTGGTATTTATGAGTGCCATGTTCGTTATTCTCATAGCATCTTTCCCTGCTCTTGACAGCCTGCATGCAGAACTCCACTGAGATCAGCGATGCACTCGCGTTTCACATGTCAGCGCAGTACATGACAAAAGCTCTGAATATCTGTATCAGGCACACAGTGCACACAGCCACAGACACTGTGAAGTGCCAATCTCATTCTCTCAAGGCGCTATCACATGTAGGACTCCTTTGAGAGACGAAGGGAGGAAGCGATACAGGTAGACAGAAAAAAGAGACAGAGATACTGTAGACGCACGCATGCAGAGGCGGATTGCTGTTCAAGAAACAGGAAGCATTCATGAATAACCTGAAGTTGAGCATGCAATGGAAAGAAGGCTTGGCTCTGCAACTGGTGTTTCTGCCCCCCCCCCCCCC